GTAAGTTCCTCTTTAAGGAAAAGAGAAATTAAATCCCATTAATGAGATATATTGTATCCTTTAGATTCTGTATTAAGTTAGGATTTTGATTTGTTTTGTTGTTATTAAACATCTAGCATAAGTAAAATAATGTTAAATGTTTATATGATGAGAGATAAAAAATGAGACAAACCGATCTTCAAAAAGTTCTCATTCTAGCAATAGGAAATAAATATTTGCATGACATAATAGAATTGAAAGATAGGAAAAAAGATCCCTAAATGGGGGAGAAGCTCACTTTAAAATTCCAAATTCAAAGAAACACTATTTTAATAAGGTACCCCCTTTTTAGTATTCTTTCCACATGGAATCATCTATAGATTTAGAGGAAGAAGAGCTGGCTGGATGAAAAGGACTTTGCTGACATCCCCGCACCAGGAGAGGTGGGCTCAGGGAGAGAGTGGTTTTCATGATCCTTGGGATTTTATTGCCCTTGTAAATAGATACTGGAACTATGATCATAGCTAACCTGGAAAACTGGATTATTGGGCAGGTTTTCTTTTCACAGCTGGACTAAAAACTGCTTTTTTTAAAATTGAAGTATAATTGATTTACAATGTTGTATTAGTTTCTGGTATACAGCAAAGTGATTCAGTTATACACACATATATTCTTTTTCATATTCTTTTCTGTTACAGGTTGTTTCAAGATATTGAATATAGTTCCCTATGCTATACAGTGGGAACTTGTTGTTTATATATAGTAGTTTGTATCTGCTATAAACTTCTTTATATCTTACACTGGTGTATCTTACACTTGATGGTACAGCCTATGCCTGGAACCAAAAAAACTACAGAAATAAATGGATTTATTGTGTTGTCATGAATATATCTTCTTACCTTGCCCAAGTCTGGAAAGTAGGCCAAACATAGAACAGGGTTTCTTTTGTCTTCTCAGCTCAAGAGTCAGGATATCTCAGATTTAACAGCTGTTGAAAGGGAAGACTCATCATTACTTACTCCTGCAGCCAAAAAGCTGAAAATAGATACCAAAGAAAAGAAAGAGAAGAAGCAGAAAGTGGATGAAGATGAGATTCAAAAGATGCAGTAAGTCACTTTCCGATCTTTCCCCTTTCAAGGCTCTAACTTGACCACACAAAGTTAATACATTTTTCTTCACCTTAAAAACATTTTTTTCTTTCTTTAAACTCAAAAGAAAATAAAGCAATTAATACGTTATGTTACATTATAGAAAATATAAATACATTTTTAAGAAGTATCACCTTACCACCAAAATAAACACTGTTAATATTTTAATGTATATTATTCTCCAAGATACTTTCTTTACATATATTTATAAATAAAATTAAATTAAAAATTCCAAAGATGTTAAATACTGTTTGTAACCTATTTTCCACATTGTATACAGTGAGTGTTTTCCATGTCCATAATTATACATCTAGGTCATAATTTTCTTTAAAATGGAAATAGCTTCATTATGTTTTCTGATTGTAAAATAATATGGGTTCATTGCAAATAATTCAGAAATACAGAAAAAATAGAAGAAAAAATTACCCACAATCCCACCACCCAGAGTTTACCTAGGGTATATATGTATAGCTAAATATTTTCACATCAGTAAATATGCCCATAAATCATCATTTTTAATGGCCACATTATATTCCATTAGATGGATGAACTATAATTTAACCAATCCCTGTAGTTGTTTAGATTTTTTTTCTTTTGACAACATAACAAACACTAAGTTTTTTCCTCTATATTTTTTGGCCATTGGGATTTTTGTATATTTCTGTTCATTTCCTTTGCTCATTTTCTAAAATTGGTATGGCCATCTTTTAATTTATTTGAAAAATTTAACTATATGTTAACAGTATTAACCCTTTTCCATATAGTTTACATTTTCCCCCTAGTCTATTAATGTTGGAAACTACTAGTTGAATATAAATTTATATATTAAATTTTTACCATCAACATGAAGTGTAGTAAGGTAGTGTAATGGGGAGAGCGAGCCTCATGCTGAAAACATAATCTATAGAGTGTGATTCCATGACCCAACACTGTTGTTTTTGTTCTTAATGTTAAGTAAGAAAGGAACTTGTGTTTCACTTATTGTCAACTTCCTTAAGAGTAGAAATCCTTGTCTTCATACCTTGTAAGCACTAAGCCTAATACTATTGACCCCTTGAAAAATTCATTTTCTAAATGTCTGAAACTTGCCTTTAATAATGTATCTTAAGTATCCATTCTTGCAAGTGAACTTAATTACCTGAATCTTTGTCTAGAATCCTGGTTTCTTCTTTTTCTGAGGAGCAGCTGAACCGTTATGAAATGTATCGCCGGTCAGCTTTCCCTAAGGCAGCCATTAAAAGGGTAAGGATGGACTACCACACTTCATTTCCATCAGCTGTGAGAACTGAACTAGACTCAAGAGCTATATCTATTGGCATTTTGAGTGAGAGGTTAGGCAAGTTTGGTGGATCATTTAAGTAGGAAAATAAAAATAACATGCCCCTCAAAAATCTGACTAGTCAATAGACTGGGATTTCAAAATTGTAGAATAGATAAACAAGATTATACTGTATAGCACAGGGAAATTTACACAAAACGTTATGGTAACTAACAGAGGAAAAAATGTGACAATGAGTGTGTATATGTCCAAGTATGACTGAAAAATTGTGCTGAACACTGGAATTTGACACAACATTGTAAAATGATTATAAATCAATAAAAAGTGTTAAAAAAATCTGACTAGCCATAGTTTTATATTCTAAGGATAGAGTCTCAACAAACAGGATAGACCATTATATACCTGAATCCTTGTTTTAATAGTCTCAATTTCAGCATCTGGCCTTTAGTGAACTCTTTTTCAGTGCAGAGCTCTCGTGTGTGCTATGTTCCAAAGCCAGTCCTTGACTACCTTAATCACAGAGTCCTTGTCCTTCTTTCAAGCTGATCCAGTCCATCACTGGCACCTCTGTGTCTCAGAATGTTGTTATCGCTATGTCTGGTATTTCCAAAGTTTTCGTCGGGGAGGTGGTAGAAGAAGGTGAGTGGTTTTGGTCTAAATACTGGATTGAACCTGTGGTGGTCTGATTTCCAAGAATATCTATGCTGAGGGACTTATTAAAGCACCAGTGATAGTTTCCATTTACACTAGATAGAAGTTAACCAAAGCAGGAGTCTTGTATTTAGGAGAGCATGACCATTATTCCTTGAAAGTTTCAATACTGGGAGGCCTGGAAGCATCTAGGAAATCTCCCTTCCTTATTCCTGTCCTTAGCTCAGGGTGACAGAAGCAGGCTTTGTATTTTTCTCCAATAAACTTTGCTCATTTCTGCTGCCAAAAGTAAACATACATGAAAAGCAGTTGCTGGGGCTGACCAGTGTGGTTTGGTAGGTAGTTGTCCCTGATGTTATGACCCCTGGGAACTGCCCCCTTGTCCATCAAGTAAAGAACCTGGGTGCTGTCCATTGCTAATTGCTAGCTGGTGAAATGTTTGTCTTTTTTTTTTAAGAAGATATGTTTTAAACTGTTGCCTATGATAAAGCCTGATATGGGATATTATGCTAAAGCTAACATGATACATTTTATAGCATTCTCTTAAGAAGGGAACATGTCTTGGTTTATTTCTTTAGCCAAGATTTAATGAGAATTACAGGACTCAAAAGGATTGTGATTAATAAGCTCTTGCGTGATAATGAAACTTTCTCCTTGCCCTCTGTTTAGCACTGGATGTGTGTGAGAAGTGGGGAGAAGTGCCACCGCTACAACCCAAACACATGAGGGAGGCTGTTCGGAGGTTAAAGTCAAAGGGGCAAATTCCCAACTCGAAGCACAAAAAAATCATCTTCTTCTAGACCAAAGTCCAGAAGGGCCTGAAGGAAGAAGTACTGGTTCCAGACTCCCTGCTGCATGAGACTTTGTGCAGTGGTGCTTTAGTATCTCAGTCCTCCAAGGATTCCATGATTTTAATATCTTTCTCAAAACTCTGATATTCATTACACCTAAAAGAAGGCATGCAGCCTGTTTCATAGTTGCCTTGACTAATTATTGGGGCCTCTGAAGGCATTTTACCATTCATTACTGGCTGGTTGAAAGAAGAGAGGTACATGGGCCTTAAGCATCTTCTGGACAGAGGAGCTGCTGTCAGAAAGAAAACCTTTCCCAGAAGGTTTGATGGTTTCACGTTGAAGCCTGAAGTTGCGGTGACTTAGGTTGTTTCGTACAGCTGGTTTTAAGTAAATGAAACCACCAGAAACTTTTGACTTGTGATACTCTACCATGAAGGACATGGTGATAGCAGGAGTGGTGGAACAGTTTGTCCCTGTAAACAGTTAAGATTCTTCTATGAATTTTGGTGAGTGATCATTAAACTGTTTTACAACATGTTCTATGTGTATTCATTTTCTGTCTAGCTGGTTGGAATGGGAAGAAGCTCATCGTTCTTTTTTGGTGTCAGAATAAAACTGGTTTTGACTTTTTTGTGAAAATTTGAGTCTTCCCATTTTCTACTAGAACCATTAAAATTGTATATCATAGATTGTCATTCTAAGTGAAGTAAGCCAGAAAGAAAGAAAAATACCATATGATACCACTTATATGTGGAATCTAAAGAAGAGACAAATAAACTTATTTACAAAACAGAAACAGACATAGAAAACAAACTTATGGTTACCAGGGTGGGAAGGGATAAATTGGGAGTTGGAGATGTGCAGATACTAACTACCATATATAAAACAGATAAACAAGTTTATACTATGTAGCACAGCGAACTGTATTCAGTATCTTATAGTGACCTAGAATGATAAAGAATATGAAAATGAATATATGTGTATACATGCATGATCGAAACATGCTGTATGTTAGAAATTGACACAATATTGTAAACTAACTATACTTCAATAAAAAAAATTTTCTTATAAAAGAGTACTTAAAAACAATGTAAAATGTTTTGTTTCAGGTATGTTTCAGATCCCTATAAACAGATATAACAGAGCCAATACTGCTTAATAAGTTTAATTTGCTTTTTTCAGGTGGTTCACAGAACCAGTACACTCAAGGTTTGATTAGATATTGCAACATTAAAATTTCCCAATACTGACCAGTATTCCAGTTCATCAGATACATTCTCATTGTTTTCCTCAAATAGAGGGGAATGGAGTGACCTTTTATTGACAGTGATTAGCAGTAATAAGGCTACTGTATTTAACTGGCAATCCCAAGAATTCTTTCCTCTCTATCATTCAGTGTCATAGGGAGAGGGATTTTGAAGCTGTTCTCTTTTGAAGCTTTCCTGAGCATGTCTTAGTAAAGATTCCAATTCTGTTTAGCACCCTGAGTGGGGGAAACAGCTTGGACACACAAAGTTGGATAAATCTGGCTTTTAGTATCTTATATTAAAATGCATGGCTTTAAACGTGTACATAGCCAATGGAGAAGACACTTCAGTGGGGCATTCCACAAAGAAACGCTGCCTAAGACTCAAGCTAAATCTTGACCAAAAACTAGTAAACTAAAGAAAAAAAAATTCTCAGATCTAAGAGGAAGCTTTTTCGACTGGATATAGGAACTACACCTACTGCAATCTGAGATACTGGATAAGGCTGAAATTTACAAATAACATGGAGAGAAGTTCACATCACAAGTCCAGCCACTTAGCAAAGCCTCACAGTTTAGGGTTATCCAAGAGTGTTCCCCCTGGCATCTGCTGTAAGAGATGGAGAAAATAATCCTCATTCAACAACAGCTACTATCTACACCTACCCAGAGGTGAATGGGAATATTCCTATTCTAGCAGAAGGTATGGAAAGATCCATCATCCTGGAAAGGACAGTACATCACACCAGAATCTCAAAACACTTCATAATGACTATGGTAAATCAGAAGGCAATGACACAGCTTTTGTAGTCTCAGATAAGGAGATGTCACCCTACCAGCTTGTGCAGCAATGTTGTTTCCATAGTTTTGTGATATTACTATAACTGATTTTAGAAGTTTAGGCAAGTGTTAAATTAACAAAAAAAAACCTTAGTTTAAAGATTTGGAATGGAAATTTCCCAAATGACTATGTTCAAACTATCATCTTTCCACTACCCCCTAAACTTGCCTAAGGAGGAACTAAATGGGTTAAATGGAAGCATTAAGTTACGGGTACCTGAAGGGTGGTTTATCCATTGTATATTCCATACGCAGGAACCACCATGAAAAGGTGTACATAAAGGTTGAGCCCCATGGCAAAATGAGGGTCATATTAAATATATAGCAAAAAGCAGCCATCATGAGAGCCATCCACTCCTGTCTAAAGTCCAAGAAACTAGGTGAATTATTCCAGTGAATTGAAAACACAATTTGAGATGGATAGCCACCTCTGCAACTCAGCTAAGAGATTTAAATCAGTTCATATGCACTAAAGCATGTCTCCAGTACCTCCATGTAAACAGGAAATCTAGACAATCACAGATGATACGTAGTTGTCCATGCTTCACAGCTGAAATGGTGATGTGCAGTGGCTGAAGTCTTTTGAGGAATAGTGGTGCTATCACTCCAGACATTTTCTTGAGGTATTGTTTTTTCTTGTTCAGAGTCTTAGAGCTCCAAGGCAGAAATCGTAAGCAGTTCAAAGGAGCTGACACTATTTGTTCTTTCCATCTTTCTCCTTTACATTTATCCTGAGGAATACCAATAAGGTCATATTTCTTCATTATGAAAAAGCCTGCCTTCCCCCAATGAATTGGAGTATGAAGTTATACAAGATGATTTTTACTAGAATTCCACGGGACAATGACCTCTACCACATTTCCTGAGGGAGGACTTCCAGACACAATGGCCAAATCTGTCACATAAGGGAATTCAGATTCAAGGGCTCCATTTGTCATGTGGACAAGAGCTCCAGATTGCCCAGAAACCTGACTGAGCTCTGGTCATTAAAGGGGTTAGCCTCAGTGCTTGCCAGATTTGTTTCTGTTGCCTCTCACCAAGCATAAGCTTAAGGTGAAGGAATACCAAGCAATGCCTATTAGACATTTTCTCTGCACGGAGGGGTAATGGTGGGTCAGAGAGGAAGGGGAGAGAATCAGAATGTGATTTTAGACTAATTCAGGTGGACCTAAGGTTGAATAATTTTATTTTCTAGATACAGATCTCCCTCCTCCCCCTCTAAGAACATTAGAAATGCCATACTTGAGATGAACCAGCGATCCTTTTTTCTTCATCATTCTGCCTTTGAAGAAACCTAAAGGGGGGTCTGTGGAGGGATGCAGTTACCCTCTCCCTTGTATATCACCAAATAGCCCTCGTTTTCTGTAATTCTTTTTGGAAGCCATATATACAAGGATTCCTCTTAAACCTGCACTCATAAAGTTTCTGCCAACACTACTCCTTGAACAATGAGCTCCAGAAGTTTCTGATTTGCCAAGAGAAGTGCTTTCTTTTACCTAAGCCTATGAGGTAGAACCCTAGAGCCAGTATTTTGGGACCTGAAGAACATATCTCACTCTTGACTGAATATTTGACCTAACACAACCCTCAGCTTTCGTCTTTCCAGAACTGGAGCCAACATTTTAGAGATGTGTCCTCATGCGGAAGTACCTTCACTCCCTGATAATTTTTGCTGTTCTCTGGACCTTTCCTCCCTTCACCTGTATTTCGTAAGTAAGGGTACCAGAAATGCACAGATAATTTAAGACATTATCATGGTCTTGTGTGAGGTGCTGTTTTCTGTGTTGGCTCTATGTGACCTTCCTGATCATGCAGGTGGGCATTTGGCCACAGCAGCACACTGACTCCTCCTCCTTCTCAGCAGTGCTTAAGTTTCTTTCCTGAGTTCTAACAGAACTCACTGCCTCATTGGTTGCTGAATCTTCCACTAAGTGCATTACTTCACACTTACCTACACCAAACCTCACCTGTCACTTTCCTGAGTATTCACAGCCTGGTTCGTGCATCTTCTGTGATTTTCCTTTTTTCTTTTTTTTTAATCTTTTCTGATTTATCTTTCACTGCCTAGAAGTAGTGACATTTGATTGCATTGTAATACTTTCAGGTTATTTATAAAAATCTTAAATAAGGTTAAACCAAACATCAACCCATCTGATTGTTACACTGTTAACAATCTCTCTAGAAAGATGTTTACTCTTAAGTCTCTAAGTTGTTTCCTAAGCATGATAGATACACCCATAATCTCATAGTAATTGGTAATTTTAAATTGCCTTAGTGATGAACCATGACAAAAATTCTTCAAAAGTCTGAGCAAATTAGATCTTATTCCCTCTTGGATGCATGTTTCTTCTTATTCTCAAAAACTAGAATATACAAGTCAGGCATGATTTCCTATAAAGGAAACCATTTTATCTTTCCTTCAATAGGTCATGTGTGATTAAGACTTTAGTGACACTACTAAATCACTATTTTAGCATCTTGCCAATTCAAGGTGAGTCAGCTGATGAACTTCTGTCCAATCAACACACCTTGAAGTATATCACCGAGCAGTATGGACGAAGATAGAGTGATGCGGAAGGATCAGGTAGAAAATAGAGAGGGGGAAATAGCTCTTTTATCAGGCAGAGGCAAAACCTAGTCAGGTTGAAGGGGTTTTTTCCTTTTTTTTCTTTTTTTACTTAAGTCAAAATAACATGATTTTTAAAAGCCACAGTGATAGAGGGGTGTGAGAGGCAACAGGCTAAGATGTTTATGTCACAGTTTAAAACACATTTTCAGCTCCCAAACCACAGAGTGCTAACAAGAGTGCTGGTAGAAAGTCATAGTGCAGACGATGCAGAGGTGCCAGGGACCCTGGGAGAGGAAATGACCTGTGAGGTGCAGCTGTGGAAGACACAGGACTCAGCAGGCAACAGGGGCTCAGAAGCAAGCTCCACTAGTGATCCCTACCACATCATGCCTTCAACCTAGCTCAGAGTAAACATCTTTTCCTTGATTTAAATTTCAAACAAATTGCATTACAGAAGGGAAAGGTGATACCAGTGAGCCACAATTGTTGTTTACTTCCTACCGCAGCATCACAATAATGAAAGGATCACAGAAAGGAAACTTAACCGTGAAAAACCTGATTGTAGTATCAGCCAAGATGACATGAGTTTGGTTTCCTTTCCAAAATAGGCAGAATCCATGTCTCACTTATTCCTGTGCCTCTCCTGACTCCCGCCTTGCTGGCTATTTTCTGTTCCACTCTACTTCTGTGGCTGAAGCTCAGGCCTAGGACTTTTCAGATCCGCCTCAGGAAGCTCTGGGACGTAGAATCTTTGGTGGCTCTGTGGGTGACTGAGATGGGTACTTTGCCTTGTTCACACAGGTTGTGGAGGAAGCAGATGTCTCTGCCATGAATCCAGGAGATGAAATGGCCCTACAGTGTCGAGAAGATTCCACCTAGTGTGCAGAGGGCCGAAAGGCTTTATACAGGCAAGACATGATGCTTGAGCCACGCACAAAGCTGCCCCCAATCTCCTGGAACATGGTCGTGCTTTGCCCTGTCTTCCATCCAAGTCAGAACAGCTAGTAGAAAGGACCCTGCAAGGAGTGAGTTGAGCATCCTTAGCTGACTTGTTTAACACTGGATGGTGCCTGTCACAGGTGATACAATTGCTGGTGATCTCCTCCTCTCTCCTTGGCACAGATGGCTGAGCCACTGCTGTCAGAGCTCAAAGAGGGGGTTATATTTCCTAATCTCCTGAAGAAGTTTTTCTTTATCCTGGTTGGCATGAGCCAATGCTTCTTTAGCTTCTATAAGTTCCTTTTGTAGGGTAGGCAGTTCTTTCACCTGACAAACAATAAAATTCACAATTAATGAATAAAGTAACACAAGTTGCAAAAACATCTAGTAAGGGAACAAGGAGGAACAATTCAAGCAGAAAAATCCACAAGGTTGGTCAATCAAGAGAACCCAACTAGATCTTTTCTAAGAGCCTAATACCCTCTTCAGAGTTCATCAGTTACGCAGCAACAGGTGGAAGATACGATCAGCAAGCATTCACCTCTAGCTCCTGACTTACATCCCCTGTTCAGCACTTCTACAAGCTGCTGCTAGGTGACGGGAGCCCAGAACACCCAGCTGCACGCAGCACAAGCAACCTTTTCAGCCCTCTAGGTTTTACCAGCTTCTGTGAGTATAGCCCCTAAAGGTTTATGGGAAAGATACCATTCAGTTAGGTCCTCACCTGTGGACCAAAAGCCTCCCCTGTGGGCACCAGAAACACCTGTTCTTTGGGGGGCTGCCTCTTCTCACTTTTAAGTCTTTCAGCTGATGGTCTGTCCTGAGCAGCAGCTGGAAAAAAAGGGAAAGGTTCTAAATGACAAACTGCTGGCAACATGCAGACAATTCCTAGTTGTCACCTGTTCCCTTACAGGAGAAAAAAGGCAGAGAAGCCAGGACACTGGCAAGCCAACTCACCGCCTAAGTGGAACACACCATCATCACTCCGCTTCAGCACAACATGCTCCATGGCCAGAGTGATGGGGATAGGGCCTGGAGACGTCGGATAGATGGGAGGGATATCATCCTGCAGGAAAAAGGGAAACCATATGATGCCCCTAGCCAGCTCAGAGCAACTTAGGGAACAAGCCATGCTTCTACCATTGAGCTTGAAGCATTTTTATATCATTGTTTACCCATACATTCTTTCAAGGTGTGAGAGGCGTTCCTGAGTCTCTCCCATTCTAGAGATGGTGAAACTGAGGATCAGATAACCTGATGGGCTTGCAGTCATGCTGCATGCCAAAGGTTAGGGATAGAGATAAGTTATCCTCACCTGAACCCAGGATATGTTGCCAGCAATACTCATTTATGTGCTACTATAACATTGACAAAGAATGCAAATATGCATTTCCTCATTTGATCCTCACCATATTTTACAGTGACAAGAGAAGAGGTTAACAGCTGTCACTGCCAAAATTCCTTGCCTGACAAAGTCTAGGGTAAAATCCAATAGTCCCTCTCACCTTGAGAGTGATCCTGGAGTTCAGAAGCTCAATCTGCATGGGAACTACCACCGGGATCACCTCATCCTCCAAGAAGGGCCCCAGGCCATTGAGCACCGAAGTGAGCAGCTCAAGGTCACAGCTTTGAAGCAAGATATGTAGGAAGCCATTCTGTATGGCCAGTGGGGAATGAACAGCTGCACCAGGCCCCACCTCAAAGCGAAGGCCCACAGCTGGCCTGATGCAGTCAGTCCTCAAAGTTGAGGATTCCTGAAAGCTTGTACCTTTAAGAAGAAAGACAGAAGGAAAAGATATTAATTAATTACCTGCCAGTGACTATTCTAAGCCCTTTATATATCTTTAATATTCATAATGACCCTATGCCAGAAATATTAGCATTCCCATCTTCTAAGGCAGAACTAAGGCACAGAGAATAACTTGCCCAAGTTACACAACTTCTAAGTAGCAAGGACAGGATCTGCACACAGGCAGCCCAACTGCAAAGACCATAGGTTTGGCTCCTTTGCTATAATGCCTCTCGTGGCAGTCCAAGGACCAATAAAAAGCTGGTCTTGCTATGAATCAGAGGTACTGGGCTATGGTCAGGGGAAAGCTCTTAAAACAGAGGATCCTCAACTCTGCTAAATTTGAACATCTCTTTCTTTTTCCAAGTCTTGGTCTTCTCATCTCTCTCTGACAAAGCCAAGCAGGATCTATGTTGATTTCCTCAAAACTCCCTAAAGAACGATCTCAGGTGTAGCCAAGGATATGAAACAACTTACATACCTATATAACTGCAAATTGGTACCACCATTCTGGAAAACAAATTGGCATTATCTAGTAAGATTAAAGCTATATCTACCCTAAGGACCTAGAAATCTTAGCCTCAGGAATATAAACCTGGAGAAATTCTCCAACATACACATCAGGAGACATGTACAAGGATGGGTATTTCAAGACAGCCCTATTGAAATAGGAAAAAACCTGGAAACAACCCAAATGTCTGTTCAGAATAGAACAAAGAAATAAATAGAGTAATGGGTACAGGGATATTTTGGGGGTGATGGTGATGGTCACAGAACTCTGTAAAGCTTATTACTAAAATTTATCAAATTGCATACTTACAATAAGTGAATTTCATAGCTGCAAATTATACTTCATTAAGGCAGTTTTTTAAAAAGCGAAAAGTGGTATATTTCTATAATAGAATATTAGACAGTAGTGAAAATGAATGAATGATAGCTAACTCAACAACCTAGAAGAATCTGAAGAATATCATGGGACTTGAAAGAAGCAAATCACGAAAGAATACAAACTATAATTCCATTTAGAAAAACCTGAAAACCTGCAAAGCTAAATAATAGCATTGATACAAACACATGTGGAAGAATTGTAAAGCAAGAGAATGATAAATACAAAATTCAGGATAGTGATTCCCTATAAAAGGAGAGAGGCAAGAGGAAGGTTCAGGAGAGGGGCTCCCAGGGACTTCAAAGTTAATGGCACTATTTTATTTATTAAAGTAGGTAATGAGTATGTGGGCTCATTGTATTGTTATTATTTTATATACTTTACATATATTTTATAATTATTTTTTACTATCTATTCAATATTTTAAAAAATAATTTTTTAAAACAAAGCATATAGCATAAGCCCAGGTTTTTCCTGTCATCTTTTAAAGTATAAATGATAACTCACATCAAAGGACTGAATCAGAAGTTCCCTGATTAGGTATAACCTGACGTTAACAGCCTCAAAGAACTGGACACTGTCCTCATGTGTAAGCTTAAAAGCACCTGGGAAGTGAGGATGGAGAAAAGCCTACTGAGTACAAAGCCCCAGAAAGAGCTCTGGGAAGAAGGTTTCATTGGAGTTCTTCATCTCGCCTACTGAGTACAAAGCCCCAGAAAGAGCTCTGGGAAGAAGGTTTCATTGGAGTTCTTCATCTCCTTAATGGCTGCTGGAGAGAAGGGCCAAGGACTTGGCACTAGGGTAGCTGCCCTTGAAGCACAGTGACAGGAACAAGTTAAGCTATGGCTACCCCAGAAAAATCCCACCTGCTCTCCTGGAAGGGCCACCATCCTCACCCGGGCACTGTCCATGCAGGAACTGCCAGAGTCCCACGGTACCCAGCTGCTGGAGGGCCAGCTCCTCTCCTTGCAGGGCCACAGTCACATCCTCGCCACGTACTTCAATCCCCAAAGATACTTTGTTCACCTTCAGAACCAGAACTGAGACCTGTAAAGGTAGATTCCCTTAGTTGAGTCCCAAGCTTCCAGCCTAGGGCCTACCCTCTGCACAGAAGAAAGAAGAGCAGCTGACCAGGTGAAGACTGAGGTCTTCCCCACTGGGTGAGACTGAACTGTTGGCCTCTGGTGATCCCTGGCCATAACTATCCACAACAGGGCTCCCTTGAACACCAGCATTGTCTAAGGCATTTGGAAGAGATCCTGATGGAAGAGATTCTGGACCAGACTCTGCATAAGAAAGATAACAAAAGAGTTTGGAAGTCAAAAAATTCTATTCAAATCCAATCTCTAAAAACAGTGACAATTGTAAGAGCAAAACAAAACATTTATGACACTTATGAGACAACTAGAAATTTGAAGACTACTAGATAGTTTATGAATTTAGGGAATTATTGTTAATTTTTTAAAATGTGATAGTGGTATTTAGTCACATAAAAAAAGTCTGTAAATTGAAGCAACCCAAGTGTCCATGGACAGATGAATGGTTAAACAAAATGTGGTATAAACATACAATAAATATTTAGCCTTAAAAAGGAAGGAAATTCTGACACATGCTACAACATAAATGAACCTTGAGGACATTATGCTAAACGAAACAAGCCAGACACAAAAGGACATATACTGTATAATTCCATTTACATGAGAGACCTAAGTGGTCAAATTCATAGAGACAGAAAGTAGAATGATGGTTGCCAGGGGCTAGTGGAAGAAAGAATGAGGAATTATTGTTTAATGGGTATAGAGTTTCAGTTTTGCAAGATGAAAAGAGTTCTGGAGTTGGAAAGTGATGATGATTGCACAATGATCTGAAAGTACTAAATGCCACTAAATTATAGTTAAAATGGTCAAGGTGGTAAATTTTGTGTTATGTGTATTTTACCATAACTTTAAAATATTTTTAATATTTAAAAAATCCATTTTCTAGAGATGTATAATAAAAATACTTACAGATAAAATTATATGTTTGGGATTTGCTTCAAAATAGTATGGGAGGAAGGGAAGTGGGTAGAAGAATATATGAAACAAGAATGGTCATAAGTTCTTAATATCTGAAGCTACGTAATGGGTACATGAGAGTTTCTTATTTGGTTCTGTCTACTTTTAAATATTTGCACGTTTCCATAAGAAGTTAATAATAATAACAAAACAAACATAGGTATATACCATCCAGCTTAAGAAACTACATTCTCTTTTTATTTTACTTTCATTTAGATACTCTTAAGAGACAATTTGAAAAGTTTTCATTTCAATAAGCTGAAAGAACCAGTGTAACTACCAGTGGTGATTAATCTAATTCCTAAAAGTTACTTGTTTTATCATAGACAAAAAGCTCACAGTTATTTTCCAACAATAAAATACATAATTAGGCAAAAACAGACAACAAACACATACAGCACTGACAACAGCCACAAAATCAGTCCTACTGTCGTAGCTATGTGACTGTAAGACTAGTGCTCTCTTTTCTGATCTGAGTCTTGTTCTGTGATAAAGATCAAATTCTAAACAATAACCTAGAAGATGTGAGGATAAAGTCAGAGCCACAAATCCACTAAAATTTCTATCTTCTTTTAGTTTTGATTAAGAAAATGTCTATTTTATCAAATCTCAGCTCCTTTCACATTCTGCCAGTCTGAATACAGGGAGGCAGGAAGAACCTTCTCCAGACTCTGCAACTCTGCCTGGCTCTGCTTCCACCTACCAGACTCCAACAGCATCACAAAGCTCTCACTGCCATCACTGTCCACTGACATCTGGTCTTCAGGGCCACTGTTATCCAATGAGACACCGTCAAATGACTGCTGAGATACCGTCCTCTTCATGGAGAAAAATCGGAGTCGGGCAGCACCTCCACTTACTGGGGCTGCCACCCCCTCCTCTATCTTGGCCACCGGCTCTCTGTTTAAAAAACAAAAACCACAAATGAGCCTTAGGAGCCATGTTGTTCCATTCCCTTGTAATACACAACCTTTTCAGCCCAGACGGTTATTGTATACGTTAAACTTTGATGTCAATTATTACTTGCTGTAAGAGGTCTCCATTTTTCACCTGCCTCATTATTCTAGCATTTCAAAGTGGATAAGCCTCTCTCTCATATCAACACTAAGTGTCAAAAGTTATTTAGGGTCATCTCATATGCAGATGAGACCAACTACGTAAAGCCCTGGTGCTAATGAATAGCACTGAAGCCACCTACGTTCATTCCTCAAGTACTTACTGAATAACCTGCATACAAGGCACCATACGAGGCACAGGGTCAGGGTGGGGGTGAATAAAGTGATGAATAAGACATCCCCTATCCTCAAAGAATTTATATTCTATCAGGAGAGAGGAGACTTAAACATAGACGACTTTATATGGGAATTAGGTCACACAAACCATAAAAGAGAGGCAAGGGTACAAGCCAAAGGCTAGACAATACCCAAGAGGGGAAAGGATGCAGAGAAGGGGATTAAGAATGACCTTACGGGAGGGGGTAGGTAGAGCTCAGTGGCAGAGCACATGCTCAGCATGCACAAGGTCCCGAGTTCAATCCCTAACACCTGAAAAAAAAAAAGACTTTGTGGAAAGAGATAACACTTGAGGTAGTCCTTGAAGGACTGTGAAAGAGATAGGGAAGAGGGCTTTTAATGGGGGAAAACAGCATGAGCAAAGGCATGGAGCTGGAAAATAAAAAGTACCTTTGGAGACTAGTAAGCAGCTCAGCCTAGATGGATGGTAGGTTTTGCTGAGGGAGAGTAACAGACTATAAAGTTAGAAAATTTTCTTTAAAGAAATCTTTAAGGACCTTTCAAGCCAATCCTCCCATTTTACAGATGAAGAAATTGACACAGTCACAGTTAAATATGAAACTAAGAAAAACCCAAGTCTCCTTACTTCTTGCCAAGTGCTTTTACCACAAGGGTTGCAGCCAAATTACAGAAAACTCTGGACAAAAGATTAGATATAAAAGTGCTCTGAAAACTGTAAAGTGTAGGGGTATATGGGAAATCTCTGTATCTTCTACTCAATACTACTGTGAAGTTAAAACTGCTCTAAAAAATAAAGCCTATTTAAAAAAAACTGCAAGTGCCATATGGATATATCACAATAATTGATTATGCCACACTAAGAAGTTCAAACTCAATTCAGGAAGTACAAAGAAAAAGACTGAGGTTTTTAGAGTAGGGTAATAACAAGATCATACCTGTGTTTTAGGAAGTCTGACCTGGCTTTTTCAGATAAGCCAGAGAGGGAAAGATGTCCAATGAGGGATCAGTTAATAATAGTTTATTAAAATAGTCCACATGTGGGAACAGACAGGAAAAACTGATGAGACTCTCTAGAGCTGTGCTCTCAAAGTGTCATCCTCATATAGGAGCATCAGCATCTAACAGGGAACCTGTTAGAAACGCAAATTCTCAGGCTCCATCTTAGACCTACTTGATGGGGAACTCTGGGGGTAGGGCTCAGCAATCTGTGAGCAATTTTAACAAGCCCTCCAGGCAATTCTGAAGTATGCCTAAGTTTGAAAGTATGATCAGAACCTAACAAATGCCTAGAAAAGGCAGAGCTAAAATGTAGAGTCTGAAAAAGCAAGAGAATGATGCCACCAAAAAACTAAAACAAAAAAACAAAAAAACCAAAGAACTGATCTGGGGAGGGATAAGGAATTGAGTTTTATGTATGTGAGGTCTGAGGCACCCTGGGAGATCCATGTGGAGCTCTGGGCAGTAGATAGTTTTAAAGGAAGAGCAGAGGAGGGAGGGAAGTCAGGACTGAAAATAAGGACTATAGCAGAAGTAAGGAGGTGGAAAAAAATAACCTAGAGAGAAAGTACAGTTGACCCTTGAACAACAGGATTTTGAACTGCACAGGTTCACTTACATGCAGATTTTTTCAGTAGTAAATATATAGTACTACACAATCTGCAGTTGGTTGAATCCATGGATGCACTGAAACCATATACATAAAGGAGGCTCTTATAGGTAAGGCCAATTATAAGTTATATGCAGATTTTCAACTGTGCAGATTCAGTGCCCTTAACTCCCACATTGTTCAAGGGTCAACTGAATTAAAAAATGCAGAGTAATATAAATTTTCTGAAAGTTTGGCAAATGCATCAAGAACCTTACAAATGTTTGTAGTGTTTAACCCAATAATTCCACTTCTGAGTTTTTCTTCTAAAGGCTTAGATATGCATAAAGAGTAATGTTCACAAAAATAAAGACAATTAACACAGCATTGGTTCTACCTGAGAAAAAAGTGGAAGCAGACTAAATAACCCCCAATAGTGGATTAGATTGATAAATTATAGCACATCCACTTGCAAGAATGTAATTATATATTCAAATACCTAAGAATAGAAAACTATTTACAATAAAACATAAAGTAAAATTCGAAATTTTCTATATTATATAGAAATAATATAATCTTATTATAAAACAATACCTGTATATTTTATGTGTATACACATATAAGCATTCACATGGATACATAAATATATGTATAAAATTTGGATGAAAACAGATCCAAATGTAAATAGTGGCTATCTCAGGATAACGTCGTTTCAAGTGACTTTTATGTTTTCTTCTTTATTCTTTTATTTTCCTCATTGTTAACAAAATAAACACAAATCATTTTCATAATTTAAAAAATAAAGATTATGGTAAGAGTGATCAGAATATGGACAGCCTAGCCCTGTGGAACAATTATATTTATGGGATAAAAGGAAGGAGAGCAGTCAAGGAAAAAGCAGAGTACTTCTGAGAAGTGTGAGTAACTGGGCAGGGTTACCAATGCTCAGACTAAACCGACCAGCAAGGTGAACTGCCGCAGAGGATTCCTGGAGAGGGAGGACCAAGAAAAGGCCACCAGGGGCGGGCAGTAGGAAGTCAATGCCAGTGTTTAAAAAAGAGTTTGTACCACACACCTTTCTTTTCTCCTTTCTACCTCTCCTCTTTTCCCATCTCCCTTACTCTTCTCCATTTAGAAAGGGCAGCACATTTGGTGATCGGGAGTCTAGGCTATCAGTCCTCACCCCATCACTTACAAGTTGTGTGATCTTGAGCAAGTTTCTTACCTCTCTGAGCCTCAGTTTACTCAACTGTAAAATGGGGAGTGATATTAGTTCCTGCCTTATAGGGTTCTTACAAGAATCCAGTGGATTAATACTGTAATATTTAGGACAGTGCCTGACATACAGAAAGCACTCAATAAACATTGCCTAGTATTACTTTTATCATTTAGCCCTTTAAGTTTTCCTTTCCCTTCCTCCTAAGCTATATATGCCTAGCAGGTACTAACACAACTACAGGCATTGCTTAGAGACCCACTTAAGACAGCTCACTTAGACAAAAGCTCTTAAAGCCACTGATCTTCAAACCCTAGTCCCCAAAACACAAAGTGTCCCAGCTAAGTCTTTATTATCTTTCCTAAAGCCATAGGAAATTCATCAAAAAATCCTTACCTTTCCACTTTGACTTTTGAATTTCGGTGTTTTCTGTTTACTCCCTACTGTACCTCCAGTGCCTAACACAGAGCCTGGCACACAGTAAGGACTCAAAAAGTATTTGTTGAATGAATGGATGAAATTCTTCCTCCTCTATTAGTCTGACAGATATTGACAAGGTATACCAGAAAGAGCAAGTCCAAAGCCCCACCTTTTCCATTTACAAGATACAGGATCCATGGGCTCACCCTCTCTGAAGCCTCAGTTTCCTCAGCTATAAAGTGGGTGTACAAATATCTGTATCCCTTCTGCGGGGATCAAATCAAACAAAATATTACATGAGAACCCACTGAAAAGAATAAAATATCACACAGATGCTAGGTGTTATTATCCTGATATAGCATATCTGTATCAATAGTAGTGAATCAGTGAAAGAGGAGACAACTTGATGTTAAGAAGCAATCAGGGCTACCCTGAAAACTGCCCAAGAACAGGCTAAGCTACATGGAGGCATGTGAAAATCCATGGAGTTTTGTGTTATTTTATTGCAATTTCTGGTTCTTCCCTTATCATAGAATTAGATATAGTCCTGAAAATAAAGTCTCTCTGATTGGTATACCTATATCCTCTAAGTAGCCTGAAAGTTCCTCCACTGCCCTATGGGCAGCTCTGAAAACTAAAGGCTTTGCCACAATAAATAGGCCATTTTATACATGCTCCTGGACTACACGGTGCTTCCCAATTTAAAAGTACACACAGCGGAAGGCCTTGAGCCCAATGGCCAGAACTAGGAGAAAGAGATGAGGTGAGTGAAGGAGGCAGAGAACCACTCACTTGGCTGGGGGAAGAGACAACATCTTGTGCATGGTGGAGGTCATTCGGTCTCTGCCCAGACTGAAGGCATCCTTAGTCAGGGACACAGCTTCCTTGGTGAGGTCCATGGTGGCATGTAGAGCCTCCTTGGTGGCATCCTTGGTCATGTGAATAGCACTTGACAGTTCTCCCTCAATGTTCTTCAAGGGGATGAGCTCGCCCTGTCCATTCACAGTAGTATCCTTGCCACATGGGGGCTTCAGTGCAGCTGGTGAGCTAGATGCTTGGGCTCTGCTCAGTCTCTTTGCCTGTAAGGAATCGACTGCCTCGTGGCTCTTCCCAGCCTCCAGCTGTGCAAGAGAATCTGAGTACTGTACTTCTCCATTGCTATGGAGAGGCAGTGGTCTATCCTGGGATGCATCCAGATTGTCAATGCCACTATCCTCTAGAACCTTCTCAGGGCTTGCTGGGCCCTGTTCTGAGGAGGCATCAGACTTGAGCTCCCTATCCTCTGAAGGGGACAGCTCTGAATCTATGAGACTGGTAGTATTTGAACCCTCAGAGTCCACTTCAACAGCCCCAGGGGCAGGATGCATGAGCAGAGCCACCTCAGCGCTAGGGAAGAGAACCCCAATGCAAGCTGTCTGGTCCTGGAGGGGAGACCCAGTCATGGCCTCTGTATCCTTAGTCAGCTGCTCCTGAAGACCCTGCAGCACCTCCTTCAGGCGGAGGAGAGCCAAGTACTGGTAGTGGTCAAGCCTCACGCGGACATGTGCAGGGGAGTGTACCAGCACGTGCACATCTGCGGCATCCTCCAGCTCTGCCAGAGACCCTTTGGTGTCCACAGCACCGCTGCCTTCTTTCAGAATTTCCATGACTTCTGTAAGGCCTGACAGGCTTTTCAAATCATGCTCAGTCTTTGACCTCTGATGGGATACTGTGTCAGGGGCAAGGGCCTCAGAACGGACAGGACTGCCAAAGCTGGCCGATGGTTTCAGCCTCCCTTCTGTGGCCAGAAGGAGCTTTCGTGCCTGGGCTTGCTGCCAGCGGAGGGGTAGGCAGGCCCAAATGGACAAGGGGAAGGGGGCCACGAAATTCAAGGTATGGCCTTTGAAGTTCTCTGTTCCCTCAAAGTCCAAGGAGATCTGGGTGAAGTAGATGGACCAGAGATCCTGGGATGCCTTAAGTCTCTGGGGAGGGAGGGTACTAGACTGAGGAGGGCGGGAATCCACCTGGAAGGCATGATGCAAAAAAAGCATGTGCAGAAGGCTAAAGCCACCTGGAACCTTGGGGAACTGAACATAACTGGAATGAAAGAACTCAGCAGCAGCAAAACCCCGGAAGAGACTTTGGAGGTCTGGACAGCTACAATATGGGGCATGACGTGTATTGGTGGCAGTCATGCCTGATACAGAGAAGACAAGGGCCTGGGGACGATGCAACCCAGCCTGTTCTCTCTTCTCCAGCGGGAAGCTCACCTTCAAAGAGAAAATGAAATGAAACCCAATTCAGAATGGCCATCTGAGTTTCCTCTGCAATCCACCATTAGTACACCCCTGAAAGACCACCTGGGCTGTAAAATCACTTTCCTTACTTCCATCAAATGGACAGAGCAGAGCCCTGGATTACAGCCATGGCAGAAATGCAGCTGTGGATGTCAACAGGGAACAAAATTCCTGCTCTCTCCCTACCTTCAACCAGAAGGCATCCAGTCGAATATCCAAGTGTTCATCTTTCTGGCTTGAATCCTCCAACTTGTAGATAGCTTTGAACTGCTCCAAGCTGCGGTATAAATCCAGGCAGAAGAAGTTTCCCCAGAGCAAGCTGACGGGATGCATAGTAAATGTCAGACCATTTAACTGAATGTAGAGATTGGGACAGGGAACTGGAAAGCAGAGAAAAACAGAATCACCATGTACGAAGTAGCAGCCCCACTCTTACTCACCAGTTAATATTCATTTTATTATCAAGAGAGCAAAGGTACATGTTTAAACAGGGCAGAGTTTTCAACAAAGGTGTGCTAAATTAACCCAAACACCTAAAACTCCTAAAAACAAACGAGAATATAAGCAGAGACCCAAAGGCTGACAAATGTGAAAAGCATGCACTAGTCAGTAAGAAATGACCAGTAAGACTTGTCAGATGCTTACCTGGAAGCTCCTGATTATCTGGGAAATAATACTCTGTGAACTCAATATGAATGGCAGAGACCTGAGTGGGGAGGTTGTGAAGTTTCCGACTGCAGGAAAGGAGTGTAGATGGCTTCTTACTTGGCTGTCCAGCTGTAGAAACCTGTGCAATCACAAGTTGCTGTTAGCATCTGTACGTCATCCAGAATAGAATTTCCCCGATTTCCTCTGAGGTAGGAGGATAAACCCTTTATGATTCTTCCAAAGTCTGTCACAGGAAGCAGAGTGGTTTTCACACATATTCTAGGCATACTCACACCTAATACTTTCTACAAGTCCATCTTTTCAGTGAAAGGTTTGTAGTGGGGTATTCAGAGGAAAGTCCCAAGCCCTGACATCAGCAGTCATGCTCAGAAAGAAACAGACCAAAGTGTCAAATCCACCTGGAAAGGAGGGAAACAGCCCCCTAATTCCACAACCTTGATCACATTTGTTGCCTTCCAAATGAACTGCTTACCCCTTTCCAACCCTATTTCCCTGTGTCCTGGGCTGCTTACCTGGTGGATGTCCAAGTCATCCACTCGTATTACCAAGCAGCTAGAACGTAAGCGATTCCATGCTGGAGGCCGAAAGACAGCCTGTCGACTCTGAGAGGGGCTTCTCTCAAGAGGGTTCTTTTGTGGACTAGAGAGAGAATCTGAATAAAAATAAGAAGTTGAGAAAGAGAATCAGATACATTCAAGTCTCATTATTAATAGAATTCGGAAAGGAAAAACCCTAAGATCATTCATGCTATATGCAGGAAAGAGAGCTTAACACTGGCTAGCTCCCGGATGGAACTCAAAATTGTATTCTCCCCAAGACCAAGGCAACAGCCTACTGAATAGAGGTGATAACAACCTCTCTTCAATACTGCAGCTATCCCTGGAGACAAAGAGGACTCTGTAAAGAAAAAGGTCATGGACGTCTTTCCATGGAATAAAATTGGAATAATTAGCCAGTCCAGTGCTTTATCATCACTGGACATTCAAGGTAAATGTCAAGAGGCTAAGCAGTGGGAGTCCTCCAGCTACTCATAACCCACCTGCTTTCCTCCGGAAGGGAGAATCTACCCCCAGGTGCCAGGGTGGTTTCAGACCTGTCTCCTCATGCCACTTTTCCACTTTACTCTGAAATTCCATCACCAGCTTCTCAGCCCACTGGCCTCGGGTCTCCATGGCCTCACAGTGACGTACCCAATGTTTGCAGCTATCGCCTATGCAATAAAGAAGCAAAAAGACTTTAGTCCAAGATCATGATCCAATGTTACAATTTTTCTTTTCCATTGGTATAGTTCTCCATAGTTCAGAATCTGATCCTTCATCTGCAATCCAGAATTCTCTGGGATAAGTAAAATTATCTGGTGAGAGCACTCAAGTTCTTCTGAATTCCATATGTGATTTTTTCCCTGAGGCTTCCTACAGACCAGCTGCTGACTGCTGCCATCTTTGACTAGGAACTACTAAGGAGGCTGTAAAACTAGCAGAAGTAAGGAGCAGAGCAGAGAATCAAAAGCAACATCTCAGGCACTGCCTCTCTCCTACCTCTTCTCATCGATGATAAAGAATCATTGATAGTGGACCCTGCAGGTTTCTAGAAGATATCCTCTTGAAAAGGACTATTCCCAGCACCTCTCTGAGAACACGCTGCAGTCCCTGGCACCCTTCTACTGGGCAGCCAGGGATGAACTCAGGAATCTGCCCTCAAAATCTAGGTCACGTGAAAACTGCCCCCATTCAGAATTCTCCTACCTGCCCAGTGGAAGGGGTAATAGTCAAATGCCATCTTGCGGAAGGTAAGTTGCATTGCACCACCCGTAAGTCTGTTTGTAGAGACACCTATAAAAGAAGAATAAAGGTGAACAACAGCAGAAGAAACAAAGAGGCCCAAGCACCACTTGAAGCACTTAAAGTCCTCCTGAGGGTCAGCCCCAAGGCCTGGCTGATACACAAGTGCAGCTGAAAGGCCATGATGTCAGGTGATTTGCAAGGCTCGCTGAGTTGCAACAGTCAATGGATATGCTCTAAAAGATCCAAAGAAAAAAGGTGTATTCCATTGTCTCTGTAAATGGCTGCTAGATTTCCAGAAAGACAAAAGTAACTGCAAAACTCAGGATTCAGGAATTTCAATCCTTGGTCTCCTACAGACACACTCTACAACCTTGATTCATTTGGTCTCCCCAAACCTAGCAATACTAGTATTGCTGTCCTGCAGCACAACCCCTGGAGAAGCATTAGCCAAACTCCCCAAAAAACATGACCCATATTGTTTCCTTTCATGTGCTGGCTAAAGCTAAAGCTGTGATGTAAGACAGGATTACATACTGAAAATACAAAGAACCATGGAACACTAAGAACACTGCACTAACAAGGACATTATAAACATACAGAATAATGTAGGTAAATTGAAATGTTTTGCAGTGAATGAAATATTCTATTATTTATGTTGAATTTACATTCAGTTCTTCCTAAATGAATGAACTTTCCAAGTTTCTATCTTATCTTTCCAACTAGACTCTAGAACTGTAAAGATTTCTTCTACACGAGTATTGTCTGAACCACCCTGTTCTGCACTTCCATCGTATCCCTTCCATCCTGTTTCCGGGGTGGGGGGAAACATCATGGAATTCTCTAGCTGTAAGCTGGTACGACTATAGCCAGGCGGCCTGTCGTTTCCATCCAATCTAGATTTCACCACCCCAAGTTCTGGACTAATCACCATCCTACCAAGCAATACACCTACACCAGTGTTCCTGTTTCTCAACCTTTTTTTCATAATTACCACCTCTTAGGAGCCTGTTTAGATTTTTTTTTCCTAATTGCCTCTTCTCCATGAAATTGTCATACCCCAGATAAATTGTATATCTTATGTATTATACGTCTGCCTGTGCTTTATACATAAAAAGAATACGAATAAAGCTTATTCCTTTTATTCAATGAAAGGTTAAGAAAGACTAAATAATTCTTTTAAGTTAAATGTTAAATTTTAAAATTAAAGCTATTAATATTTAACTTAACTTTGTAACTATATTTGCTGAGAAACTTTTAATGTAATTTATTTCTTATATAAATTATAATGTATTGAATCACATATACAAATCAGCAATTTATATAAATATATAATAGCAATATAATTAAATTTTAATTACTCAAAATTATTTTCCAGCAAAAGTAAAACAACTGAAAATTTTAATTAATTTCTTAAAATTATTTTTAACTTTTAACTTTTGTTTGATATGAGAAAGTAACTTTTATCTTAACTACCTGCTAGACATTCATT